ATTTCTCCCTCATGTTTGAAGAAGCATACAAGAATCCCAGCAGGTGGGTGAGGTAAGGTGCAGTTCAAGAACGTACAAAGCAGAGCATGGGGTCCAACCTGCATTTTGATGTAGCCTTTTTTGATCAAGATTGAAAATGTGTTTAGTTTTTATAGTTTCATATGTAGGTAGATATATGCTCAAATGTTTGTTTTCTAATGTGTTTTCTAGTCAATGTTAATCATGTTTTCTGTAACCGGATATATTTTGAGACTTCTGTGGTTATGTACTAAATGTGCAAGCATTTATTACTGTTACTGCACACATACTGTATGTTTGTCATATGTATATATTGTTATTTTCAGTCTCATTGTTTCATGTCAGATACTACACAAGCATCACAACCACACACATACGTTTACTTGCTTACATTCATTTCCTGGAAAATTACCAAAACCTTAACCTTTGCCTCCAAAATCAGCTTTTCCCCCAATTGGGGTCACAGCTTTTGTCTCCAATTAACTGGTCACCTATAAATGTAATACTGGTGAGCTGCTTTCCTCTTCCTGAATGCAGTATAAGGTTCTTAGACAGGTTGATTGGCCACTTGGTGGTGCAAGTTCTGCTAAAATGCTTGAAAGTGGAATCTGAACAGGCATTAACCGGCCAACACAGGTACAATCATGAAAATGTGTTTATTCTCTGATGTGAATAAAGTTATTGTGACGTGAAAGAAACTAAACATGTGCAACTTTTACATCTTGATAAATGCATAATGCTTATAAACTATACTGAGGGCAGTTAAGTCATGTGAGTTTCTTTCTTTTCACAGATTGACAACAGCAGCAGCTCATAAAAACCAGCTACATCAGCCCTGAGAGATATAGCACCCAAGTCCAAGTGTGGTTTTCTTGAATCGTTTTCACTTTGCTTTCTTATGTACAGCTTAACTGATGTTTACATTGTTTACATCATTATCTCAGTGAACACTTCAGAATGGTGTAATTCTGAAGTCAGAAGATAACATTAATCATTTGTGGTGTTGCTTTAAATAATAAAAACAGTAGACATGTTTATTTAAAAGAGTTTTTAACCCAAACACATATTTATATCAAAGTGCTTTACACATTTACCTTACATGTACACAAATTCGTACAAATCACATAAACAGAAAACAGTAAAACCCAATTACAGAACAAGATTTAAAACATAAGAATACAGTGAAAAGGGGAAACTGTCTAAAAATGAGTTTGCAAGACAATAATGATTTTAAGATGACTTGATCATTTTAATTGTGAGATTTTTACCGACTAGAGGGAATAAGTTGTATATGGTCAAATGTTCAGGACAAACATGGGATAAAACTGCATGTTTACTTAGAGCAGACCATCAACATGCTGTGTGTAGTGGTGGATGAAGTATTCATATCCTTTACTTAAGTAAAAGTACTAATACACCACTGTAAAATATACTATTATTATTATGTATATTGCAAGTAAAAGACTGCATTGAAAATGTTACCCAACAAAAAGTATGCAAGTATAATCAGGAAAATGTTCTTAAAGTATTAAAAGTGAAAGCACTCAAAGCAGAAATCATGTTATACTATTATTTATCATTAGATTATTACTACTCATTAATGTAAAAGCAGAATTTTACTGTTGTAGTTGGTTGAGGTGGAACTATTTTGTATCAGACTGCAATTAATGATTATTTTCCATTATGGATTAATCTGCAGATTATTTTCTCCATTAATTGATTGAAACATTATGAAATTAGATTAGTGAGAAATGTTGTCACAACTGCCCAGAGCCCAAATTAACACCTTCACAATGCTTGTTTTGTTGGTGTCAACCCATAACATTTTATAACTTTATTGGTTTTGTGTTTAAACATTTTATTTTGTAAAGTAACTAGTAACTGAATCTGTCACGTAAATGTAGTGATGTAAAAAGTAGGCCTAGAATATTTTCCCTCTAAGATGTAGTGGAGTAGAAGTAGAAAATTGCAAAAAAAATACTTATGTAAAGTACAAATACCTATGATTTTTTAAGTGCATGTTAATGCAGTTCATTACTGCGCACCACTGTAAATGCGTGTACAAATGTTTTAATGTAGTTATTAGTTAAGCTAGTTATTCACACACACTTTGTCATCTTTCTTCAGATGTTCGCCTCCAATGTGGTTAAGTGGTTCTAAATAAAACACATGTACTTATAAAAGGATGTCAAGAGTGTGTTTGTTTCTGTGGCTTGTCTGTTGTGATCTAGCCTCTGATGCTAGCTGTGGTTTTCCTGAGAAAAACAGTGAACGGCAACAGCAAAATGACAATTCAGTCGATGTAGACACACAAGTATCTTTTGTGATTCTAGACAGTCTCAGCACTCAGCTTCATCATGGCTGGACGGCTGTTGTTTGTGATCCTCATGTGTAAGTGAAACCTTCTATAGATTTTTTCATTATTAATGGTGGTTATTAAAAACCAATGCAGGTTCACGCTAACAAACATGATATTAGCATGTTAAAGGGGCTATATGTACAGAAAGGTTTTGTTAAAAAAATTACACAAAACATGTTTTGTTACAATTTTACACATTTTGTGTGAATATCAACAAAAGATGGGTAAAAATATCTAAACACACTGCGTGTGTTGGACAGTTTAACACAACTTATGTGTTATTTTCAGAATCCAACAACAGCCTGACCAAAAATGTGTTGGTCCTGTTTTTATATTACTCAATAGAATTGTAGGCCTATATCATATCAACTGTAAAAGCTAAACGACATGTCCAGTTTTTGGTCTTTTTCATACCCTCATCATAATCTTCACCAAATCACCAAATCTAATTCTGTATTTCAAGATTTATACTTTTATTTTATAACTTTTTATTTACAGTCTATAATCCTAATGTAATTAATCTGATATTTCTCAATGTTGAGTATGGCATTAGCATAGACTGTATAAACTATTGGCGCTGATAACCCACAACTATGCCAATAAAATCAAAAAGTAACAGCAGAAAATGAAATAAATGAAAATACACAACAATTAAAATACAGATAATGACAAATCCACAAATGAATCTGCCCAGCAACATGACATATTCTTCAAGCCACAAAGAAAAAAAAAAAACTTCCTTCAGCCACAGAGACAAAGACAAAGGGGATGGAGGCTGCATCGACTGGTATGCTGTCAGACTCTTCGGTAGGTATCCATTTCTAGTTGATCTTAATGTAGTTCTTTATGTAATAAAAAATATGTCAACATTATGAAATATGGAATATATGAGGATTTTGAAGTAAGGATCATACAGTTGGTTAGGCCTCGAGGTAATGCTAAGTTTAGCTACCTAGCTAATATTAGCTAGAGAGCCAATGCTAATGCAACCATTCTTGTTAAGTTAGAATGTTTTTTCTTGGTAACTGTTAACTATTTTATGAATATATAATGTCAGTCTAATCATATTTAATTAAGTGTTTATTCAAAGTCTTGTTAATGTTGCTGGATTTTCCGTTCCATTTAAAAAAAAATCCATGATAACCTTTACATTAAGTAATGTTACTTAAGTTACACCAAGCGTCCATTGTGGTTTTGATGTTTAATTTTGCCGTATTTATTATCAAAATGACACCATCTAAAATTCAGTTTGGGTGTATGACAGTTAATAAGTTAGCAGCTCGTTTCGATAAAGTCTGCATGAAACCTGGTAACGTTAATGTTAACATAATAACGTTAGGTTTGAAGTCAGTCGTTCGAAAGCGACTCAACACCGCCATTAATGTGAACTGTTAGCTAACGTTAGATAACACAAAGTTCCTGCAGTGGCTCTGTGGTTACTGGAAAACCTATATCGAGTGGTGCACCTAACAGTTGAGTTACTTTATTTCGCAAGGATAAGGTTACATATAGGCCTAAGTAAGATAAGTTGAACGCTTGTCCGCGTTGGAAACAGGGGTGGAAATTAACTTTTTGACTCACCTGCCAAGGTGGCTGGTAGATGAAATACACCTGCCAAACATATTTTTACCTGCCAAAATAATAAATTGCCTTTTGTGCCACATATACATTCATTTCTGTCCTTTTAACTGCGATAATAAGGTATTATGTCAAACACAAACTTAAAGAAGAGTCAGAGTGAAATTTGAAGCTAAATTATATTATTGGTATATGTAGGCAACAGTATAGTTTGACAACAGTAAATTGTTTTATAAACTTACAAGATGCTTATTAATCATTCATCTTAAATCTTATCACTGCTCACTCTTGTCATGCTTTATCATTCAAGTTAAACCTCCTCGTCAGACTGCTCACTTTCTACAATCACCCTCTTCTGGCCTCCTGGTTCTGACAGAGTCCTGGTACCTTTTGTAATTAGCTCCTAACAGTAGCAGCTTTCACGCTACCTTATTTTAGGGATATTGCACCAATCTGCCGGCTTGCTGCAGTTTAAGAAAGGTATGGAGCAGATTTTATCTGCCTCTGAGCAGGGAAAGTTGGTGACAGACAGACACGAGACAGAAAGACGGAACGATCTGTTTGTGAAAAGCCACAGGCGACATGCTGCGGCATGCCGCTGGTTCCTGTAAAGCCGGACCGCTATGTGAAAGCACACATGATTGCGGGATAAAGGCATTTTAACACGGGATAAAGCTGCAAACCTTTGTTCAGTATGAATTAGACATAAATGCGGATTCTTTCCACGCTGATCTCCGTATGAAAGCGGCTACACTCTCACTCTCCCCTGACTCCTGTCACCTAACGACCACCCTTACAAATCTACGCAGTGGTGCAAGTTCTGCACCTATGTAGTTTTATACATTAATACCTTATACTGTATGCAGATGAAGAGTCAGCTATTCTTGTTAGAAAATGATTGTTAAAAACATATTTAAATGAATCACATTGTAGAGGTAGTGAATTAAGCATAAAAAGATATTATTTTAGAAATTTCAAACTACATTCAGATGTGCTTTTCTGGTCATATCAGGCAGCTGAGTAAGTTGTGGATGAATGACCAGTATGTATTAAAGACAGGAATTAGGCTCCTTGGGTAAACACTTGCCTCTAAGTTCTGTCAAAACCTTTTGTCAAGACCTTGAATATGACTGCAATAAGATGCATCTCTTGTTGCCTCTACACAGCCTACCACTAACAACGAAGAACACAGTCAGCCCTACAGTCAAAACTTCAGAAGAAAGCCCCACAGATTCTTAAGGAGTATGAGACTACAGGTATCCTGTCAGTGCCATCGAGGAAGCTTCTTGGGAAGACTTACATAAGAGATTTGGTGGAGAGGTGTGAAGTATCTATTTTTCTTTTAACTGTATTTTAATTTTGTAATTATTTAAGTTTATTGCTACTTTTACCTTATATCTGATTATTTGTTTGATGTGTGTAATTGTCTCTGCTCTTGTGAAAATACTTTGTAACATTGTTTTGAAAAGTTCTCTAAAAATAATTTATTATTGCATCATACCACACTTTAGCATGAATATCTAACTTTAAAAATATTGTGCACTGAAACAAAAACCACAAGACTATACCTGTGTCACTGAGTGAGGAAGTGGCAATGTTTTTGTCCTATTTTCCAGTTACCCTCTTAGTGCAGAAAAGCTGGCTGCAGCGAAAAGCATCATCACCACCTTCCCATCACTGAGTGTCTGAGTAGAAGGACAAGGGGAAGGATTTGTAAGTAGTAGTTTGTGTAATAGTATTTTATTAATGTAAATTCTACGCTCCTCTTCAATCTAATTTCGAAAAAACTCTGCTGCCAAGCTTCTAACAAACCAAATGCTGCACTGACATTCCTTTGATTTTGGCAGCATTATACATATACAGTTTGTTTTAGAATTGATTATATAAAATAATTTTAATCACACCATAAGGCTCCAAAATACATTGTTGAACTTACTGTCCTTCAAGAGGTCATCAGAGCAATGCAGCGTCCTCTGTGAGTGTTTAGTAGGTGAAGATAATCGTATATCTAGATTTTTATGGTAACAAGTTACAAAGTGCTTTAACAAGTGCAAAGACAATAAAACACATAAAAACAAAAACCCGATAAAAGCAAGAAAACAATTAAAATACTAAAATACACGTTAAAAGTAAATATCTAAATTGAATAAAATCAAATAAAATTGGGAAAGACTCCTATAAATATATGTTTTAAATAGGGACTTAAAAGAGTTCACTGATTTGATATGATATCTTCCATTGCCTAAAATCACAGCCTCAGGAGCATTACTATGATCCAGTCTCTCATTGTGGATTCCTAGAAACTGTGCAACCTTAAATCCTCTCTGAATGTGTTTTAATAGCAATCTATCAAACAACCGTTGAGCAAGCAGAACATAAACTTAAATATGACATTTTTGACCTCCGGAAGTCATCTCTCCTCTGATTCGCAGCTGCTACATTTTACACATGCAGCTTGATTTAAAAGCCAGCTGCTTCATTGGTTTGACTGGCCCTGAACACTCCACTACAAAGCTAGCACTAATTGGAGAGAAAACGTCCTGTCTGTTATTTCTCATAATATAAATGCACTTTTAATAATAGTTACAGTAAGTACCGGCCCACTTATAGCACTGCTCACTGCGCAGGTGCAGTCGACATTGACTAGCAGCTGCAACACAAAGGGCATTGTTCACACACTTGCCTGCGTACTTTGCGTGTACCTGGAGGTATAAATCTGAATCCACTAGGGGGCGGACCAGGACCAGGTCATCCCTCGCCGACACAGGATTATCTTCCTTGACAACCTCCACATTTGCACATCGTAAACAAACCAAACATGGCGGCACTCGAGCAGGTTGTGATTTTAATGAGGCATCATAGTGATCTTGGTAATTGCGGACTAGCTCCAGGAGTTTTATTGTTAACATCCTGCCATAAATCTTTAAGTCTGCTGTTGACCATCTTCTTCTTTTGCGTTTAATTACGGGTGGCAAACCAACTGCATACTGTCACTACCTGGGCTGGTGTCTGGAACAGATGCTGACCTGCCGGTCAGATCTCGTTCATGTGTGGAACTGCATCTTGCGGATGCATAGCGTAGCGTTAATTCCTAGGGACGTTCACAACCTATGCTCCAAAGGAACACGGGATATGTGTGGCAGCCATCTTGCGTATGCGAATGTGTAGTTAAAAGCAAGTATATGCAGGGCTTAATGTTACCATATAGTAGCTATCCTTAATAGCTAGGCTCATGTTTGCTAATAACTTATTTGAAGGTGGGTCTCCGAAATTGCGGTGTTGGACTGATTTGTGCAGTTGTGTACATGATAGTAATGTTAATCAGTCGTTTTATAGACGTTTTATACATTTTCGCCCCAGCTTCTGCCTGATCAGTCACTGTTCTAAGTTCACATTAAGCTCACGCAGGTAGAATGTGTCCGGCTTCATGGCGCCGTTTCTATATCCTGCCCCTGAAGTTGCCGACAGCTCACGTTTGACAATCAAGTCGGTGAAAGTCAGCTGCAGTGATCTTGAACGCATGTCAAAGAAGAAAAAAGGAAAACGGACAGTGTTCTCCGCCCTTACTGCTGCAGAGTAAGGGCGGCTGGCTGTTCACAGAGTGCTGGATCCACTGGAGGACGAGTGGAGAGGCACAGAATCCAAGTTGCTTGAAGTCCAGTGTGAAGTTTCCACACTCAGTAATGATTTGGGGTGCAATGCCATCATGCCATCTGCTGGTGTTGGTCCACTGTGTTTTATAAAGTCCAGAGTCAATGCAACAGAAGATTTTAGAGCACTTTATGGAGATACTGATTTCCTTTTCCAGCAGGACTTGCCGTCTGCCAAAGAGCAAAAACAACTGGAAACTGGTTTGCTGACCATGGTGTTACTGTGCTTGGTTGGTCATCCAACTCTTTTCAGAATGTCGACATTTATATATAACTGATAATACATTTATTTGCAGTATTAGTTGTTGTCCCCAAAAGTTGCTTTTGTTTCCATAATATTTAATTACTGAAGAAGACTTATTACAGATATCTAGATTAAGGGGAGCACAAATTCAAATGCTTGAAACATCTTGCCTTTGTGTCTCTTGCCAAACTTCACTGTAACTATCTTGGTTTGTGGTTCTCCCTTATTCGCAAGTTCTGAAATACTGAGCAGGAAAGAGCCTCAAACTGAGGATGTAAGTGAGACATGTGGCACAGTATTGAATATATTTGCTACTAATGTTTATAGATGTGATACATTTAAGACCTCTTATAGTTGATTTCTTTCTTTTCTAGTTAGACATATACCATGTGTACTCCACCATCTCTGAGGAGCTACCTGCATCATCCCTGAAGTACATGGTGTACAGCACCCTGCAGGCACATTGAAAAACATTTTTTATACTGTATAGAGACTTTTTAAACGTGTCATTTCTAAACTTGTATTTTTTGGCGTATAACTTTGTCATTGTCATTTCTCTGCAAGTAAAGCACAGAAACCTTGTATGTTTCTGCAGTACTGAAATAAAAAATAGGCAGTCTACAGTAGTGAACTACTTCACAGGTCAAACTGACTGCAGTATTTCTTGTAAAGTTGGTATTTTGAACTTTGTCACCCCCATGCTTACTTGCCTTCCAAGAGGCCTCTCTTGCTGCAATTCTGCTAAACATTGTCATTTGTGGTACAAATACACCCTCTGCTGATGGACTAGAGCCATGACTGGGATGGGTCTAAGACTGAATTTATACTGTATGAGTGGATGAAGAGATATTTCCTATTTATATATTATTATTATATTATATATTTCCTTATTAGGGATCCAAGCCCAAGTGGGGCTGGGAACCCCCAGTACTAGCAGAGCTGGGAACCGTTTTCATCATTATTCTTCCGTGCATAATACCTCAGGCGCAAATTTCTGCATACTTCTACCTCTAGGGGGCGCTATAATCAAGATAATTGCGCTTGGGCTTGGAACTCCCGCCCACAAAGGTGCATATCAAAAACCTTATATCCACGCGTTCGGGGGATCCAGCTGAATCTTGTGGTATAGGCCACGCCCATTTCTGCCCAAACTTTTTTTCACGCAAAATCGCGGAAAATTTTAAAACTATTTTAATTCGCTCCTCCAAAGCTGCAAGTCCATACGGCACCAAACGTGGTACGGATAATCCCTGGACCAAGCTGATGAAAGTTTGTAGAGTAAATTTTGATCCGACTAAAATTTTCGCAATTATAGGCTAACAAATAATTGTGAAAAATGATAAAAACAGGAAGTGAGGTCCAAGTTTGGAGCAGTAATGTGGCACGTCCCCCTGAGGGCCTGTGCAAAATTTGGTGCAACTAGCCCCTAGGTGGCGCTGTTTAATCCGAAAAATTTGTTCCTGTATAACCACAAGTCACATTGACATGAAACCTGTGCTGAATTGTTAAGCATGGTCTCCTCACTACAGGCACCAAAGTTGACCCAAATATGCCTGTAGATGACCCTGTTATTGCAGATTAAAGACATGAAAAAAAATCCCATTGACTTTCATGCATTTTATATCTCTATAACCACAAGTCCGATTGATACCAAATTTGGGTCAATTGTTCCCCATGGGCCCCTGATGACACCTGAAAAATTTGGTGCAATTTGGCTTATAGGTGGCGCTATAATTGGAGATCAAATACCTTCGGAAAATACCATTCATTTCAATGGGATTTTGAACCAAAGGACATTTTGCCTCATAATTACGTGCCACTACATCGCACATTCATAAACCTTGGCTGTTTCTCAATACCGAGTTCGCCAAGTTCGGACTTCTGTACTTTACAGCTCGGACTTGGCAAGTTCGGATCGGGAGTACAAACTCCCAGGAACGGGAGCACGCAGTCAGTCATTCAGCAATTGGAACAGCAGCAGACTTGATGACGGCCGGACCCGTTAGCGGGAGGTACCTCACATTTCCGTAAACGTCGTAGCAATTTTTTAAATCAGCTCTGTCTTGAGAAATCAACCACATATTTGGAGTTTAAACAACTATATTCCCGCATAAAAAACTACTATATGTGACACAAGAACTGCAGTATTATAAGTTACAGCTGTGAGTTTTCTCCTCCGACCTTTCCGCTTTTTGGTCGGCGAAATGCATTCTGGGATATCTGTCTATCCGAAGTCCACACAAATCACCACTGATGCAGGCTCAGTAAAACGAGTGGAGCAAGAACACATCCGGGTATTTGACTGTACTTGGCTAGATGTGGACTTTTGAATTGTAACAGTACTTTGACTGATGACGTTTCACAAGTCCACAAGCACAGAAAAGAACGCAGATTGAGAAAAAGCTCTTATGTCTCTGTGTTTGCGGGATGCTGCCGATTTGTATGGCATAGGACACGCCTCTGTGTGATGACGTTTTCATTTAGCTAAATCGCAAAAACTGGAAAACATATATTAATTATCTCCTCTGAAACCGCAAGTCCGATCGGCACTTAAATAAATTAAATTAAAACTTGGCAAGGACGATCTCTGGGCCGAGCCGATAAAAGTTTGTAGAGGGAATTTTGATCCGCCAAAAAACGTCAGAATTATACGCTTATATGCTATACGCTGAAATGCAAAAAACTGGATGTGATATGATATCTTAGGTTTGCAATGGCCGATATACACCAAACTCGGGGACCTTATCTACCATGCCCTCCCGACACTGTGTGAAATTTGATGCCAATCAGCCTCTAGGTGCAGCTACTAAGCTTATATCAAATGACACTCCCATAGACATATATTCATTTTATATCTCCGTAACCGCAAGTCCCTTTCATTTATAACTCTGGTCATTTATTCTCCACAGGTCCCCCAAACTACGGTGGGGCGCCCGGGTCGACTTGCGCGGCCTCCGTGGAGTGAGGGGGGAGGCTTGGACCCCGCTTACAACTGCTTGCAGTTCTAGTTTCTATTTATATTATTGTCACACACATTTTTGTGAACACAAAAGCATGTCCCTATTTCTGTCAAGTTTGCAAAACGACAACATTTTCCTTGTATCACTGAAGGGGCAGGTGACAACAATCTCTGACCTGGTTAGGTGAAGGTGTCTGTGTTGTAATTGTGGCTTTAATTACGGTTAATTGTGGTTGGGAACCCACAGGGCAAAATCAAAAGATTCTTCAATTACAATTTGAAGCGATGTTAAAGTGACCGAAGAGAGTTGTACCAAATCACAAATAAAGCCCCAACGCTCCTGTCACCAGGACAGAGATTGTTGTCACCTGCCACTTTAATGATTAAATTGAAAGGGAGACAAGGAGCTGTTGGGTCAGATGTACGACCAGGCTAGGCCAGTTAAGCCTGGTCCCCACCTTGACCAGCTTTATAAATTTTGTAAAAAAATACTAAGTTTGCAGTCAAAAACTTCTCTGGAGACGGTCAAGAGTCGGTGCAAAGAGTTTAATCCAAAACAGGACAGATAAACCCGTACAACATCCCTCCAAGTCGGAGGATGGAGTCAACCCTGTGGTCTGCAGACAGCCTTATATATCCCCCTCTGGGCTGGTTTGCCCCCTCTTTTCCTTATGGTAAACTTCTGCTGTTATGCTGTTTACATGTGTTGTTTTTAACATTGTTCTCCAGCTGTCACTTATTACTGTATTGTTGACTTTCTATATTTTTATACTACTGGATAAGAAGTTCACCATTACATTTCAACATCAGTCTCACCGTATTTTTTAAAAGTTATGCATGCTTAATTTGACACACAATTATATTTCTTAAAAAATGAATACAAGAATATGTAATGCTGTATCTTTCATTAATGATTGGTTTCTAGTGTGCTTTGAGTATTTGGAGACTGTAGTCTTTGTTTACATAAAGTTCAGGGCTGTCCTTGGTGTCCTAGCTTTTGTCACACCTGGGTGTGAGAGGGAGTATCCCTTTGATAAGAGGTAATTAAACACAGAGCAATGCCATGGTTACATGTGTAGGGCAGTTTAGGGTTTCCTGCCCCTTTCTTTAAGAAGAGTTCTGATAGGCTGTTTGTAATCTCTGGTTAGTTTCTTTGTCATTTTAACAGTTCAGGCACCAAGACGCTTATCTCGGCTGTTGCCAAAGGTGGCCAGTTTTACAATCAACTGCCCCGGAATAGCACTTAGGGAAAGCGACCTTTCAACCCCCCCTCTTTTGGGGTCTCTTCAGCTGTCTGTAGAGGGTTGATAATCAAACCCCCTCCTTCTCTCTGGGAGAGAAAAGGGGAGTTGAGTCTCCAAATTATTTAATATAAAATGCACAAATCCACACTGTTGTTCACTACACATATGTCCCTGGAGAGTTGAGGTGTGGCATGTATGCATGTATGTGTACCTGTATATCACATCAACCTCTGACATGTACATAATAATTACAATAATGGTAATAATAATTTACTCTTGCATCCTGTGCACTCTGCTCATTGCACTATTGTCTCAATCTGTTTATATTGTTTTTGTTTCTGTTTATAGTGTGTATATATTGTGTATACTATCAGGCACCAACTATACTGTAGTTGGTGCCTGATTTTATTTTATTTTATCTTATGTAGCAGACCTAAATTTATTAGTTATGCATTTTAATAAATTTCCAAGAATTGAATTTTTAAGATTCATAAAATTATTTTATTTAATTCCTCGTTTTAGGGCACCACCGGAGTTGTTATAATCCTAGAGTCTCCGGACCTCTAGGTAGTTTTGAATAATTATACAATTATTACTAGTGATCAGTTAGTTAATAATCGCTCAATTATCTTAAATCAGTCAATCAGTCTCATATCTAAAGGGTCAATTCTCTTGGCAGGAACTATAAATAGGCAACACACACAGCTCTTGGTTATATTACAGTGAATTTATTCTCTAACTAAAGGTGATAAAAAGATGGTTGGATACAGGGAACAAACATTTGCTGAACAATGAGCCTGGAGGTTCGGTTGCGGGAAGCATTTGACTCATACGGCATAGAAGAGCTACTGAAAGTAAACTAATGCTATGATTTTAGGAGTTAAAATGGACATCTGATCACAGAACGTGGGTTAAGTCTTACTGCTTGTCGACAGTCTGCTTTTGGCCTGTTGCTGGTCCCACTTTAGCTGCCGATCCTGGCTTTTTTGCTAGGGATTCTCCAGGGTTCTCCGTGTCTGATTGAAAACGCCTCCTCTGTCTGGCAATTCGGCTGTTTTCAGGTTTCCTTCGTTGTAGCTGGCGAGACCACGTGGCTTGGTCTGACCTCGGTGAAGTTGGCTCGACGAAAAAGGCTTAAAATGGAACTTGGTCGTTCCTGAATTAGTCCAGTGTAACTTAACGGACCGATAACTTTAACAAAACAAAAGAAACAAAGAAAATAAAACAAACTGAAGGCAGATCAATGTCGCGGCACTTCAGGTGTGTAGCTTCAGGCGAACAAAAGGGCCTGTTTGTTGCCTGGCGAGGCACGCTGTGCGTGCCGAAGCGTCCAGAGGGCCGAGCAGGGTGGAAGAGCCAACAGCGAAGAGAAGAGAGCGAAGCGAGGTCGCGTGTTGCTCTTTTGTTGTCTGGGGCGTGGTTCCCCAGGGGGTGTCTCAGGTTTCCCATGGGACTGCCTTTCTAAACT